TCGCACTCCTGACGCTATCTGCTGGGAATATATCAATCTATGGGGACAGAGCACTGCCCCAGTGGGTCCCATAGCGCAAGCCCTGCGCCAAGGAACGTGGCTGGGATGCTGCAGGCACTGCTGGAAATGTGCAGAGCTACCGTTTGCTTGCAGCTGCCCTCCCTCCATGCACCACATCTGGAGAGGGATGCAGCAGCCCTCTCACGCACAGCAACAAATCCCCATCACATGGCGGCTCCAAGGAGTTTTCCCACTGGTTTCAACAGGATCCGAGCTCAACACAGGAAAAAGCAGCACTAAACCATTGCCCTGACAGTGCAAGCAGGGACAGACCTCCACACAGAAGCAGCTGAGCTGCAGATTTCCTTCTGACAACTGCTGCGGGGGCAACAGCCTCCTCCTGCAAAGGGATGGAGCAGCACAAGTTGACACATCCCAGGGCTCAGCTGCTTCTGTCCAGGGAAGGGCAGCAGGAGGATTTCAGCTCCACGCTTCTCGACCTCATGTTAGACATTTGGGACCTGTGGCCCCAGGCCAGAGTAACTGCACTTTCATCTTGCCCTGCCCAAGGGGACATTTCAAACCCTCTGAACAGGAACTCAAGGAGCCCGCTGGACCACAGGGACGAGGCTCTGAACACTGGCATGATTTGCTAGACCTGCCGTCTCATATGGGGACTTGAGATGTGCAGAGCTTGGGAAGGTACCACCACCCTTCTGCTCCCGCATGAGCTCTGGTTAGACAACTTCATAATTAAGAAAAAGAGGTAGTGTCTGTTTTCCAAAGAAACTGAGGCTCTTGGATCTCCGTTTCTCACAGAGACATGAAGTCCAGTGCCTCAGCTTTATATATAGAACCTTTGAATTCTGCCTGCACACACCTCACACAACAGAGGTGCACAGAAGGTGTGAAATGCTCCTCTGGGAGCTCTGTAGTGGGAGAGCTTGTGCCCTACATACAGGGCAGCATGGCTCATTCCCCTCTTTTATAAACCTGTTTACAAAAGGGACTTAAAGGAACTTCTGAGTGCTCCTTCTACCATTTAACTACCACATGGTACAAGATATAACAATGTTCAGAAAACCCCCTCGGGTCTAAACTCAATTATATAACTGTAGCAAGAAAAATATTTTAATCTGATCAAAGTGTTAACATGTTTGACCATGTCTGACCTCTAATGTTTGTAACCACCTAAAAGGCTGATGTTCTTACTAAGGATGTACCTTAATTTGATTTAAAGTCATTTGTACTATTTAAAAAAGGATATAGTTTTATGATTTTTTATTTCAGTTAGAAAAACAGTTCCTCAGTTTGTCAGTATTCTTTGGAAGTTTCATGCAGATTTTTAACTGGTAAATCCTATATATGCCACTCGAGGAAAAGCTGGAGTTTGCAAGTCAGGAGAGCAGAAGCAGAGCCACAAACCACCACACATGTGAGACCGGAGCGACGGGTGAGAAACGGTTCTCCTGGTGCCTTGCAAAATTCTGAGGTTTCAGATGCATGCACAGGCTCCTTCTTCACCCCCAGCCCTCCCTTCTCCCTTTGACAGCTCCACTGCCAGGCCAGGCTACTCGTGCGTGCTCAAACAGCATCACTGCAGCTGAATAACCCTAAATGGCAAAGGTAGCCATTGAGCCCAACGCCCAGGGTCTGCCCACTGCAGGGTGGCTCCTGCCACATCCCGCTGCTCGCTGGGGACATCGGCTGTGCTTGGCCTTGCTGCTGCTGTCAGTACCCAGACACATTCAGTGCATCACTCCAGAGCGAGTTCATAGACTCACAGCCTGGTTTGTGTTGGAAGGGACCTTAAAGCTCCTCCAGCTCCAACCCCTGCCACGGGCAGGGACACCTTCCACTAGAGCAGGTTGCTCCAAGCCCCTGTGTCCAACCTGGCCTTGAACACTGCCAGGGATGGGGCAGCCACAGCTTCTCTGGGCACCCTGTGTCAGCGCCTCAGCACCCTCACAGGGAAGAGCTTCTGCCCAAGAGCTCATCTCAATCTCCCCTCTGGCAGGGTAAAGCCATTCCCCTTGTCCTGTCCCTGCAGGCCCTTGTCCAAAGCCCCTCTCCAGTATTCCTTTAGCCCCTTTAGGCCCTGGAGCTGCTCTAAGGTGGCCCCTTCAGTAGTCTTCTCTTCTCCAGCTGCCCCAGCCCAGCTCTCTCAGCCGGGCTCCAGAGCAGAGCTGCTCCAGCCCTCGCAGCATCTCCATGGCCTTCTCTGGACCCACTCCAACAGTTCCACGTCCCTCTTGTACTGGGGGCCCCAGAGCTGGACACAGGACTGCAGGGGGGGGTCTCAGAGCACATAAATAATATAAGGGAGTGTGTTTTGATAAAACAGACAATTTTGGCTGGGGAGATGCGGGGAGCTCAGCAGGATGCTGGGGTGAGCAGAGGAACAGTTAGCGGGCTATAACGACCTCGAGGGAAACAAAACAAGTGATGCTGCTGAGAAAATAAGAAAGAAAAAAAAAGAGGAAAGCAGCGTGCTGGTAACACTGGCAGCAACACACCCACCCAGGCTGGCTCCAGCACCGCTCACAGCACCTGGTTGGGGTCTGGAGGGAGACCACAGAGCAGAACTGTGGTTCAGTCGCAGAGCAGGGTTCAGCCAGCAGCCTCGGTGCCGGCTGCCCTTCCTCTGTAGTCATGTATTCTGTTTTTCAATCAGGTAAATGTAAAGCCCTGACAGTTTGCCAAAGTACTCCTGGGTTAATTCATTTTAGTTTTGGAAGGTTCTGAAATTAATCCTGGCTGCAAACAGCCGTTTCCAGGAAGCGTCATTAACCAAAATACAATCTCCACTATCGAGCGCACGCATGAGAACGGTAACCCCATTCACTCACACAACCCTCCTCTCCAACTCTACTTTGCTAAAGTGTTAATTCAACACACTTCTAGGGATGGTGAAGTATCTGCAATCTTCAGTCACAAATCTGACCTCCTCAATTACTGGAAGCAGCCACCAGATTATAGCCCGCACTTCATATAAAATACACACTAGCAATAAATCTATATGACAGCAATACACAATTTACTATGATAACCTTTGCACAGTCAATATAAATACAAGACAAAATTGCCCAGCTATTCCAACACTGGAATACAGCTATTCCAACATTGGAATAGCTATTATACCAAGTCAAAAACCACAAGACCAGCCTTTATCTGAGGAAGAATCTTCCCATGTCTGTTAGGTTGAGAGTTAAAAGTCTGTTAAATCAAATCAGTTTCTTTAGGCACGCAACAAACCATCGCAGGATCGGAACAGGCCCCTGTGAAGCTGGCTGGGGCAGGGGATGATTCCCGTGGCTCCCAAGGGGACGGGATCATTCCCTCTCTGCTACTTCATTTTCCCCCTTTGAGTTCTGCACAGTCTATTTACTCCTGTCTGTTGCTCCGACAGGAACCACTCAGGGTTTTATTACATTATCCAGGGGAAAAGCAGTTCACAAACCACAATCTACTTTTTAGCCTAATTGCTAATAAATAGACTATTGCACTTCGTGGCCCATCTAGTAAGGAGTTAAGATTAAAAGAAATATTCCACTACAAGAAAGAGTTGCTGAGCTAATATAACTCTGAACTTACCCAGGTTCTATACTAGGGAGCAAACTAAATACGTCTAAATAAGTCAAATTTAATAGAATTAAAAATTTAACATAATTAAAAATTTATCAGCTTAATATTTGAGGGGAGTGAGGGGGATACCTGGTACCCGGATGAAGGGACACAAGGTGGGAAGCAACAGAAGGAATGCTTATTTGGATTACGACATACACTGGCCCTGCCTTGCAAACACATCTTTTCTCACTGCGAACTGAAGGAAGACTTCAAAATTTAGGGACAGATCCTCGAAACCCAACTTCAGCAAAGTTCCAACAGTCTCCAGGCAGGGGAATTGGTGCCCCCAAGAAGGGCTCTGTTGGGGTAGGGGCAGGCTCATGCAGGGACCCATCTGCTGCCACCCAGGCCAGCAGCATCGACCCGCAGGGCACAGGAGCAATTCCCACAAACAATATTTCATGTCAGTTCCACACGCCACAATCCATCACTTTTTCATAGTGCCAGTTTAACATCCTATCCCTCTAGCCAACAAATGAGTGAAGTTAAGCACAACATTATATATTCTTTTAAACCTTATCCCTTCAAAGGTGAACAGCTAAACCCGAAATAAACCAAATGATGCTCTGTTCTCACTTACTGACTGCAAACAGAATAATGCCTGAAATGAATGTAGCAATGCTGGCTCCTCAGGAGCAACACAAGCACCAACTGACTGCTGCAATGTCGTGACATGATTTTCTGGAGTTCTGATAGAGATGGCGATGGGAAAAAACAGCTTTTGTAAAGAAGCCTTTAGTTTGATTGTTCAGACAGCAAAACTTGTAAACATTAGAATACACAGAGTTACTAAAGCGGATTTGACCCAGGAGGGAAAAAACTTTACAGGAAGAAGATGGGAATAGTCCTCCAGCAGCATGAAGCCTTTTCCTAAAAACCTCTATTGCCACTTTAGAAGCACAAGATCCACTCTCTGGACCTTCACCCACAACAGAGCCCTAACCAAAGGCAGGCCAAACCCTGGCCATTTTACAAGCAGACACGTCAAACTGAAGCTTGAGCTGCGGGACATACCCCTGAACACAAACACCAGAAGCTGCTCGCCTCCAAAGCCAGTGACCCAGAAAACGGAAGGGGCATTCTTACATCAGATATTAGGATTTGATTGTTGGAAGAGTAAAGGCGAACCTAGAGGATGGGGAGGCTGGAAAAGAAGCTCCTCCAGCAAATTCGGAGCAGGCACTTGCTGCCGAGCATCTCTCCCCCTTTCCCATTCCTTCTCCCATTTGGACAGAGCAGTGCTCAGGCATTTTAGGAACCAGGCTGGTATACGTCAGGAAACAAGCACGTGTGGTTGCCTGCACGGTAACTGCAACACTTCAGCAGTGCGAGAGAGGCCACAAAACTTCTCCATAAGGAGAGGATGAACTCACCAGCGGTGACATGGATCCATTCGGCAGATAAGGATCTGAGAGCATGAGGAAGGGGTAGCCAGAGTACGCAGATCCTTTGTACATCCCTGGGTCCTGATGCTTCATACCTGTTAAAATCAAAGTTCCCCATCAAGATTCGCTTTACGACAGGTGATTCCTCTGCACGTCAGGGCCCACCATAGAGGTTCTGCGGCGTCTTTTTGCCCTGTATCCTTTGGAAAGGGTGTTTGGGGGGTGCTGGGGTCCCCTGGGGATGCATTGGGAAGCCTCGCTGCTCACAGGAGCAGCATTCCCGGGAGGGCCGTGGCGGCCAGGCCGGCATCCCTCACTCCGGGGTGCTGAGGCTGGGGACCGGGGTTGGAATTCACCCACCCTGGGGATGGCGAGCGCTTGGATGTGGGACACACACACACACACACACACACACACAGAGGGAAGGGGGATCACTGCAACTAACCATCATCCATGTGGTCGGGCAGCTTCTCCTGGTAAACCCGCTGCGGATCCTGCACCCTCCTGACGGCCTGCACGGGGAGGA